GAGTGAAAACACCGTGCGGAGCAGAGAGAAAGCACGCACTGTGTCCGCGGCTCCCGCATAAAGCGCCCCGGCACACCACTTCACTATATCCTCCTCTTCCTCGGTCATACCGGGGCGGAGAAGTTGAGAAGTGAACGAAGGGATGTTGGATCTGGCCGCCTGTCGATCAAGATCAAAGGAATCGAATGAAATTCAATGAATCTAGCAGTAGTAGGTTCCTGAACTCACGATCTGCGATTTAACCCAGTTATGCGGAACCTCAGAGAGCGAGTTGAGAATTGTGCGCCACTCTGAGCCCTGGGACTGGAAGTGTGCGAAGGGGAACCACGCCGGGATGAATCGGACTTGAAGAATCAGTGAGATTGATTAACGGAGCGAAATAGGATAGCCATACGGATAGGCCAATAATCCACAAGCCATCGTCCTGGTGTCATCGCCCATCCCGAAATTTTAGAGGCCTGTTCAGCAACTCTTGGATCTGATTCAGGCCATATACGGCGGTTGGAAGTGGTAAATAGTGAACACGTACGATATGAAGTGATCATCATCGCCTGAGATTGAGTAACCGAAGTTGACCTATACCGATGATTGTCGGTCGGGTACAAGCGGAGATGAATGTTCTGAGCTCACTTTCATGATCACAGCTGCAGCGTTTCTACCACAGATGAAAATGTATCCAGAAAGATAAGCGCCATAATTTACCCACCTGCGTATATGCTGCTCGTATTGGGCGGGCGTGTCTATCAACCCGCGAATCAAAACACCCGCCTCCTCCTCGAGGATCGGCCAATACGTCTTTACGGCATCCGCGCCTAGGCCGCTCTGGAGGATACGTCGGTAGATTTTATGCCGGGGATGGGAAGCCGGAATGTTGAATACACTGTTGGCCCGCCCGCAGATTACTTGATACATCCATGAGATCGGCCGTCCTGAATAAATCGCCGCCCGGGTTTCGAGGAGATCGTGGACGGCCGCACGCGTGTTGAGCACGATGGTAAGGCGGTTGTGAACCCGAAAGCTCAAGATTGGCCCTAGATTGAAGTTGAGGTCAGTTAAGTTGTAGCGAAATTCAGAGCAAGGCGTCGCGTACCGCCATAAAGTTCACCCCATTTCGCGTATGTCTTCCATGGTTCTGATTTTGGCAGGTCGGCTTTGACTCCAGCGATGATTGATCCGCGCGGCCCTGGAGGGAGTGGGAGGGTGGATTGTCTCCTCTTCAAGAGAAGAGCACAAATCGACAGGGAGCCAATGGTTAATAGGAAACTGAGCATGGAGGGGAATAGACACGAGCGCCGATAGATATACGCCCCGTAGGCCATGGAGAACCAAACTTGGGACCCGAAGCTCCCGCCGCATCGATACTGACTGGGAATGGCGGTATTAGATGTTGATATGTGTCGGGGTTCCGAGTTTCAAAGTCAACGTCCCGACCGCAAGGAAATATGAGCTAAAATGAACCGACACTTCAAGGGAGTCCTTTTCTCGGGAATGGTATGGTGATATGTCAAGATCGCTTCAAAGGACGGAGTTCCTATCGGCGGAGCAATATTAAGTAATTTGGAGGATGCGTCTGGATCTCTTCTAGGAGCCTGAAATCGACCATAGAGCCAACCAGAGCATCCGGGTGGGCCTTCCGAGATATCCTGAATCAGTTCTTCCGAACGGGATTGAAGGACACGCGACGTTCGAGCACCGTTTGGACGATTCGGGATTTCTGCCAATGGGGCGTCCCGGCTCAGCCGGAAATTCCGTGGACACTGCCGCGGATGACATCTGGATTATCGTCCTCACCGTACAGTTTGTCGCGGTTCTTCTCCGTGTTCGGGCGCTGACAATCCTGGATGAATGGTGAGAGTCAAGAAGGAAGAGGCGCGTAAGGCCGAAAGTCGGATGTATTCGGCAATCAGCGATCGTCTTTGTTTTTCATCCGTTTATTTCTTGCTCAGTGTTTTCGACCGAGTAAAATTTCGCTTGCATGTACAGGATCAAAATGACTCCCACCTACGAAGCGAAGTCCACAGCATTCATGACTTTGTCACTGATAATCATCTAATCAGAGGCGTACAGCAATATATAGAGCAGGCTCGACTTCTGCCGTCTCTGAATCACCGCTCCCCTTCCAGATATGGGGCGGGTCGGTCTTCTTGACCTCCCCACAGAGCTACTGGTCAAAATATTCGAACATCCGACGTTTCCAACCGCCAAGCTCTACGCTCTAGCCTTCCTCTGTCGAAGACTCCATTTCATCGCCCTTCCTATCTACATTGCTCGCAGCGGCCTGGATAAAACCACGAATTCAGTGGTTATCACGATGGATACAGACGGTCGGGACCTGTTGGGGGCTCTGCAAAAATCGTTGTTCGTTCCGGAGATCGAGAACTTTACCTGCATCTTCCCGCACCCGAGCTGCACCTCTATCTTCCCGATTCTCTCCCACCTACGGCGACTGCAGAACTTCGTCTCTCGCCTCCGTTCGTTGAATAACGTCATCCTCGAGCTAGATACCATGTTGAGCGTCTGCCTCTCCCAGGTAGAAAATAATAGGGGCCTACGGGCGTGGACTGCTCAGCTCGAGGCCCTTCTGAACGTCATCGTTGCGCGAGGGTGCACCTCGCTGACGATGATATATGGTGCTCAGTTCACCAGATCCTTCGGTGTGGAGAAATCCCGAGGTCCAGTCACCCGACTACTGGCGCAGATCGACAAACTCCTACACCGGGGCGAGACACGGGCTGTTGAGAAAGGCGTTGGAATGAATCTGTCATCCTCCTTGGCCCGTTCTTCTCGCCTTTCTTCCCTAAACATCCAATCGGCCATCTTCATTCAACCTCCGGGGTTACAATGGACGCTCGCAGCACTTCAGAAATGCAACATAACATCCCTCACTCTGTGCCATGATGTCGCAGCGGGTGGGGACACCTTTGCCGTCGGTGCGGATACCTGGGGGACGGTTCTACCACTTCTAGCGTCCGCTTCTCCTAGATTAACCTCTCTTGTTTTACTGGACGCGCAATCCGCTCACGGCGCCGATATTCTCACCTTCCTATCGCGGCTTCCCTTCCTCACACATCTAACGATTTGGAGCACCGGGACGGCTATTACCACTCAGCCCTGGGGTGCGCCTACCATCGCCTTCCGCCACCTTCAGAGCCTGCAAGCGCCGCCCAGCTTCCTCAATTATTTCCTGATGGATCGTTCCCGGTTCACCTGCATAAAATCGGTCTGCATCGTGTGGCCCGCAATGAGTCTCGACCTTCACATCAGTGCATCCGTGGAAGCCGTAACCTTGATAATCAACACGATCGAGGCCTATGGCCTCGCACCCAGGCTCTCAGTAGCCGTTGACATAGTCAAAGCTTGGGGCCAGGTCCATAACGCCCCGCCTCCGAGCGACGATATCCTGGCCCGCTTCCGGAAAATCGATTGTCTGAAAATCAAGGCCGCCAATCTTCATTTCACCCATTTTGACGATATAGCTCCGTGGTTTGCAATGTTCTCCTCCATTCGGCGCGCAGAGATAGACACGGGAATGCACCCGGTTGCGCTTCCCCAGGATCGGGTGAGACGCTTGGTCCGGGAAATAAAAGGGACGGCTTCTTTGCATAGTGTTGTGGTGGATGGTACTGTGTACGACTTGTAAATTGTTGAATTACTACGTGTGTATTTCACCTGCGCCACTAATGATTCCTTGAATGTTTGAACATATGAAAACGCAACAAAACGTCGCATGTATAATTGTGATCTCGGCACTTTCACGGTGTGGTGAATCTGGTGAACGGGAAATGGCGCTTTATTTGTCCTTGCATCGCATTTCGCCGCCACGCGTCGCAGTCACGTGGATATTGAACCACTGATTCAAGTTGTTGGTCCTCGGATCCCTACAGTACTCCACAAAGAGACATCCTGCATCCCTCTCACCTGAAAAAACAAATCTATAGATTGGATGAGCGAGTAGGGACGCCTACCAATTCAAAATCTATAGATTTGTTTTTTCAGGTGCATAAACAGGTGAGAATGAATCAACGCAAACCAGTGGGCAAAAAATAGTCTCGGACCATCCTCTCCCGACATCCCAATATGGGAACCCTGTCGTGAGAGTCTGGGCCAAAGTCGGCTAAATAACCGTACCATTGCGCTATCAATTCTCTGATTTTTCGGTGCTTGTTCTACCACTTTGCAGGTCCTTTTGGCTAGACTTGAGAGAGGAAGTTGTTGAATAGAGTAAATTAATACCTTCTGCCGCCTTAGAATATTTCCAAGTTCACTCAGCAGAGGTGAGGCGACTCCCAAAATTTGGGCGGAGGCTGAGTGTGGCAGTGCTGCCGGTTACTAAGAGGACCGAATCGCGTCCATTTTGACTTGTCACTTATTCACAAACCATAGTGCAGTTCTGAACAGGCAGAACATGTCAAAGGATGAAAACAAACGACTATGCCTCCAGGTTTTGCAGTACAACCACTTACATAGGCGAAAGTAACAGATGCGGGAAATGCCGGAAAACACCGGATTTTTTATAGCGCAATGGTATGGTTATTTAGCCAGCTTTGGCCCAGACTCTCACGACAGGGTTCCCATATTGGGATGTCGGGAGAGGATGGTCCGAGACTAGGTAAAAAAATCTTGGCACCTATCATTAATGTCTTCGGGTACTCGAACCACTGGGTTTCCCGATCAAATCTTGAACTCTTCCGGGGAACCGACTTAAAACATTAAGGACCATAAGCGAGTCCCTACTCCACGAAGACTTGTTTACCTTTTCGTGTGCTTGGATAACCGTGCATATTGGGAAGACAAGGGGGAAAGAGGTTATGTGCCGAGTGTTTACGTCTTCGCGTGGATTCGAACTACAAAACTTGGCTTGCCATCAGCCTCCGAAAAGGGCCAGTTCCTACTCCACACAAACACATCCGCCCTGCGTGTAACCTGAATAACTGAATCAGCGAGGAGCGAGGTAAAAATGCGAGTTGGTGGGTATCAAAAATCGTTGTTAAAACAACGCGGGTTTTCGGGTGGATTCGAACCACCGTCTCTCCCAAAACTTTGGCAGCGATCCGACTCAAAGGAAGGGCAGCGAGCTCCTACTCCACGAAAACACATCTGCCCTGCGTGAAACCTGGATAATGAATCCACGTTACATGAAGCAAAAATTGGGATCAGCGTCAGTCAGTCAGCCAACAAGAAAAAATTAGCCACTAATGGCATACCATGTCTTCGGGTGGATTCGAACCACCGCAGCGTACGTGTATCATCCGCAAGAATGGGTATCAGTTGAATACCTTCTTGCTCGACGAAGATTTACCTACCTGTTTGGGAGCCTCGCCAAGGAGACGAGAAGAAGTGGGTGCGGAGGATGGGCTAAGTTGAAAAATCAAACCGGCTGCCGGAACAGTGCCGTTGATAAGGTGGATTCGAACCACCGATTCTCCCGGAGTGAGTTTCTCCAACTGCAAGCCAAAGTTAAATATTACCTTCTGTGGGGTGCATATTGAGTACTTGGAATCCGGAGAGCGACTTGGACTCGAATCAGTTATACGATAAGAGTGGATTATCGTGATCCCGATTGAGCGAAAATAAATCCAGAACGACACCGCGAAGATGTGGCGTTCGTTCGGCACCTGCCAGTGCCATTGTGGAGCTCGCGTGGGGATGATCATGACCATGATTGACCAGGAGCAGGTTCTGGATCACTGTGAGATTTTCATTTGATGAATCATAAATGCGAGTGGGTGGATGCGATTACTCGAGAAGTTGAAGTTGAGATTGAGATTACTGTACCACCGCGAGCTTTGAATGTACTCTGGCATTTTCGGGTCCCTATCTCACGGATCAGAAATGAACGACGGAAATGAACGACTTCATTTCCGAGACTTTCGGTACCTGCGCATGCGGGCAACTTCCGCGCGCGGTACCGGTTGGGTGGGTACCGGGTATACGAAACGATATCGCCCTGCTTCTTATGATCAAGTTATCCATCGACTGGAGGGACCTCGAGGAATTCGAAGTAGCGTTCGTTTGGCGATATCGGTATCAATGTACATAGTCTGGTGGAGGGGTGGAAGCTGAGCTAAAAGCATCGACGCTCGGGTCCCTGCCCCACGTATCATATGCGTATGCGGACGGTAACGCGGATCAGAGCTGCAGGTGCCACGAACGCCCATAAGCGAAACGACGGAGATGAGCGCGTTAATCTCCGTGCTTGACAGACAGCCTGCCAGTGAGTAACACCTTTCAATGGATCTACATACGGCCCCCGCTTCAAATACTAAGGCCCTCCAGGCATGTCCTGGTACCTTTTACCAGACCCGGTTCCCTTGAGAACTTGCCCTTCGCATGAGAAGCCATAAACAGAGCATTATACGTGGCTCAAGGTTCGCTCGGTCGACGCTCACGCGTCGACCAGCTCACATTGAGCCCAGGATGGCAGGAACCATTTATAATAGTGTCAAAAGCTCACAACAGTTTATTTTCTGATTAATTATTTTTTACTCGGATCAAGACGGATGCGGAGATATTTTAACGGGAGTTTACAGGCCATAATTATTTATTTTTGGCTCGGATCAATACGGAGTCGATTTGACCATTCGTGTTTGAGACCTGGTTCCTAAGACGGTACCAGGAACTTCCTCGGCTGTGGCTGGCTGTGGGGGTCGGAATTCGAAGGCCGAATCCTGAGATGTTGGTTGCAGGCCTGGTGAAAATGCTGACATCACTGCGTCAGCGGCCGCAAGATTTACAAAAAATGCCCCATCTGTAGTGGGGGCCTGATGGGAAGTCGATTTTGCTCGTAGGCTTGTTGGATCCTGATTCCTGGCTAAAAAAAAATTGAAATCGGTGCTGGCGTTTAGTTGGGTCCGAAAAAGAATCTTTAAAGGGGTCCAGCGACGGTACCGGGTACCTGCATGACTCAGTCTGGGATGGCTGTGAATACGAGTGGCCCTGGGTGAGGTCGACCTGTACAAACTCGGATTGGGGTGAAAATCAACTCTAACGGCAGCTCCGGTCCTGCCCCACGTACGCGTATACAGTATGAACGCGGATCAGCGCCATCGACGAAACGGAGATGAGCGCGTTAATCTCCGTTCAAGTTGACAGACAGCCTGCCGGTGAGTGACACCTTCAATCAAAAGGGGCATTTGGATCTACATACGGGCCCCCGCTTCCAGGTTCCAACCTTCCTCGGGTGTGGCTGGCTGTGGGGATCGGAATACGAATTCGAAGGCTTGATGCGGATCCTGCCAACCATGATACGTGTTGGAGGAGCGATTTTGGGTGCGTAACCGTAGGCGCCTGCGGCCGCAATGATGACCTATTTGCAGTGGGGTTTGATGGGAAGTCGATTTTTGCTCTGACAAAAAAAATTTTTGGAATCGGTGCTGGCATTTAGTTGGGTCCGAAAAAAATCTTTAAAGGGGTCCAGCGACGGTACCGGGTACCTGCATGCAAAACGCGGAATGCGAAACGCGAAAAATGGGCTTTGAATTCGCGCGCATTTGTGGCGTCGAGGCGATATCGCTATCGCACGGGGACGGATCAGATTTCGAATTTATATTTGAACGAATGCCAGTGGGCTCAGGTAGATAGATATTAGATACGAGACTTACCTCAGGAAGCATTTTGAACTTTCTACCGACGGCTTGCAGCTTTGTTGCCCGGTACGAAATTCGTTGAAGGAGGTGGAAGTAAGCTCGAGTCGAATTCGGACAAGGAGGAAGGAGGTACGGATTTGCGGCGTTAATGGGTTTATGATAAGTATGTATGGGCGGTGGGCGGTGTTGTACGGCAGCGGCGGTTGTGCCTGCTCGGGATTTAAATTGTGAATAAATGGGTAAGTAGAATAGATATGTGTGGATGTCGGGGGTTGAGATGGTGCGGGAGGCATGTGACTGGGGATGAACTCGCCGTTGTCGAATTTGGACAAGGTCGGGCACTGCGACGGATCTGCGGCGTTAATGGGTTTACGATAAGTATGTATGGGCGGTGGGCGGTGCTGTATGCGTACGGCACCCACCCACCCGCGGTTGTGCCTGCTTGGGATTTAAATTCGGGTCGAATAAATGGATGGAATCTGAATAGATATGTGTGGATGTCGGGAGTTGAGATGGTGCGGGATGCAGTAGTGCGGGAGGCATGTGACTGGGATGAACGCGAACGAGTCGGGAGCGCTAAGATTACCTGTGAGTGAGTGCAGTTTATAATAGTTATAGCGTCGTCCGCTATGAATAGCGCTGTGAATGAATGAAGTGTAACGAGGGGATGAATGGATGAACGGATGAATGGACGGATGGAACGGACGGATGAGCGCAGGGATGGATGTGAGATGGATGGATAGATGGGTTAATTCATACATATATAAGTAATGTAGGATTGATTTAGGAGTTAGGACATGTTGGATTTAGGATTGTTTCCGTGGCACTGGCTGCAGATGCATACAGTTGAGCGCGGCGTTTCGGCGGGCCTGGGCGCGGGGGTCCGATAACGATTTCACGACTGGGTACATGGGTTTGGATGATACGCGGGCGGGGACGCTAGGGCTCGGGATTCACGCCGCGCGCGAGTGCTGTCGACGTCAACGTCGGGTGAAGGGTGAAGGGTGCGATGGAAGGCTAGGCTAATTGAGGGCAGGAAGGAAGGATACTTAATAAAGTGAGGTGCGTTTGCGTTTGCGTTTGCGTTTGATCACCGGGGTGAGTATAATTGAATGATAAGGTGATGGCGATGGAGAGCGCAACCCGGGCTGAGAAAGAATTTGAAAGCACGATGGACGTGGGTGGCCCCGAGTCAAAGCGTCAGTCTGTGATGCAGATCCGGCGGGATGCGCCCATGATGATCATTTAGAAGTAAGTGAATTTGAATGAGATCTGCGAGTGCCGGATCAGATTTGCGTGGGCGCGAGACATTGGGCGTCGTACGATCCCTTGAGTTTTGGATCCAGCTGAGTTCAAGGAGGAACATATACCTGGAAAGCAAAGCAGAGGAGAAGAGAGCGCCCGAAACGGATTCTGAACTTAATTTCATACGATAATTACCTAATTTGAATTTAATCAATCTCCGCCACCCGACGCGTAAACAAACCGCACCAAACCCGGGACGTCGTCCTTCTCCTTCTCCTCCTCCTCCTCCCCCTTCCCATACACTCCCCGCAGGCCCAGTCTACCCGGTATCCACGTCCCTCTAGATTCCGTAGGACAAGACGCATGCTAACCCCCCAAAAGACACCCAAAAATCCGCCTCCAAAAACCAGCCATTTTTTCCCGTATTAATTGATCACCAAGAATTATTATAATGCCGCGGCGCCCCGAGCCCTCGCCCTCGTCGCCATCGGCGCCAGCAGCCTCCTCGTCGCTGTCCCCATCGGCGTCGGCGTCGGCGTCGGCATCGGCGATACCCGCGCCACCGACGCCCGCGCGCGCCGCGCCACTCGCGTTCTTCACCCGGCCGAGCAAGTGGTTCGCCCGCAGCGCCAGCGCCCCGCGCGTCGGGGGCCTCGCGGCGTCGCCCTCCGGCGCGGGGCCGGACGACCCGCGCGCGAGCACGTCGAGCACCGCCAGCGCCGCGCGCAAGCCCAAGATCTCGCGCCCCACGGACCCGCGCCCCATTTTGGACGTCGAGGGGTATAAGGGCGTGCCTGGGAGTCGGTGAGTTGGGCGTTCCCTTCTTCCTTTTTTCTTTATACCTTTCTTTCTTTGAGAGAGAGAGGGAGCGTCGTCGTGCGTTTTTCGCTGCTTTTTCGTGTGGCGTCCTCCCCGATTCCTTTCTTCCGTCTTTTTGGGACGCAGAGCGCCGTCCTTGTGCGCTGGCACGGGCACGGGCACGGGCACCTCAATTCAATTCGACCCGGCCCCGATGCGACACTTCTCTTCGCTGCCCACCCTCGCTATCTTTCTTTCCTTTCCTTATTTCCTTTCTTTCCATCATGACCCCACCGCACCTTCTCTTCGGTCGTGCGAGGAGCGGGGTATCGAGCCTGCCGACGTCTACACGGCTGTCTACGTCTACGCGCGCGCATGGGTGCGCTATATTTGCCGCCGTCCACATACCATGCCTCGGTTTGGTGCCGAAGCCCAGCCCGCCCTCCACCGCGTCTTTGTCTTTG